AAGGAAGGCCTTGACGTCCGAAGGCGTCGCCATGCACTGGATGAGGGCAATGAGGACATGGTCCAGTTCCAAGGCAGTCTCGGGGCGCGGGAGTGCACCGCTAGCCGTGCTTCACGAGCTACTGCAAGCCCCGCAGCGCGCTGTGCAGGATCGTTGGTATCGTCCGGCGACCGACGAGCAAGCCATGACCTATATTTGGCCTCGGCTGCACCTCATGGAGCTCACGCCCGCTGGGAAGCGTCTTGCACTCGCTGCAAAGGCGGTCTTTCCCGCGGTCTACACGAACAACTACAACCCGCCCGAGGACATGGACGCCGTCGAGTGGCTCGACGCGTGGAAGGACAATGTCACGGAGTACGACCACTTCGATTGTCGCGATGATCAAGAATTGACGCGTCTCTGCAACGTCCTGCGCCAATGTACCAACCTCAAGGTCGTCTGCATGGTTGATTCCAGCAATGACGCAGCGGTCGTTGAGGCCGTCATGGCAACTGCGCGCTCCATCGAGGTGGCGTACTCACAGAGATGTGCGACTTTGCTTGCGACACTGGCACGCTGGCTCGCGTCAGGGCACGCGGAGCACTTGTGCTTCGAAGAGACTCGTAGCAATGATGACGAGGACGATGAGCCTGTGAACGAGTCGCTGGCCCAGCTGTTCGCGCAGCCTACCACGCTCTCGAGCCTTGCTCTTTGTCTCGACGCCGACGGCATCCTTGGCCCGCTCGTCGCTGTCGCGCGTTCGTTTCCGCAACTCGTGAGCTTGCGCATTGATAATTTCAGAGTCTCGGACACGCCTACAGTGTTGCGGCTGCTTCATGAGCTCAACACGACGCGGCTTCGGTCGCTCGACCTCGGTGGCAACTTTGTATGCAGTGTCGATGCTCTCTTGGGTACGCTTGCGTCGCTCACGGCGCTGGAAGAGCTCCGGATCATGAGTGCTCGCATCTTGGACCCGGCGTTCGAGACCGGAATCGCATTGACCATTCGGCGCGTCAAGCTCTTCAAAGTGGAATTCTCGGAAGCCTCGTGGCAAGTCTTCTCGGCGCACGTGGCCCACCTCGAAGAGTTTACATGGCACGGGTTTTCACATGCCAATCCTCCGATCGAGACCATTGTACCATCGTTGCGCAAGGGGATCCAAGGTGGCGCTCGAAAGATTGCTTTTAACTAGTGCGTCATTGGCGACGAGGGCGCGTTCCATCTCGCGGGGTTTTTGCCTCGTACAACGAGCTCTGTCGGCGCCGTCGTCGACATCAACTGCCCCCAGTTGTCGGCGCGTAGCTACGTCGCATTTGGCGAGGCCCTTGCGTCGTGCAGTGGCATCTCCATCGCGCTGCCGCCGCCGATCGAACGCAAGATGGTCGAGGCGCAGACAGCACTGCGCTCCATCCAGCACCGCTACGGCACCGTCGATGGTCGCCTTCGTCTCGTGCTCGAGAGCCACGCGATGCCAGCGATCTAGCTTCGTTTACATAACTTTTCTTATTGAATTCTTGAGTTGATTGGTCCCGTACGAGTTATTATGCTCAGTTGAATTTGAACGCTAGTAGCTCGTTGCATTCGTGTCTTGCTGTGGCTTATAGCAGCATTAGCTCACGTGGTGGCACGTCATGGACTGCAGCTGTTGTTAAAAGTCCCTTGAGTACCGGGAATTGAAGCACCGTTGGCGCAACCACGACAGCTCTCGTTGGGTTCCAGGATTAAAGACGTTGTACATTCCACTTGTCCAGCGTACTCCTCTGTCCAATTCGCTGCCGTAGCAACTTTGGTTGCTCGCTCGACGAGGGACACTTTAGACAGTCGTAGATACATTTTGCCGTGGTTTATTCCATGTCTTTTCATATATTTTCATTTGACGCATCGGAATACCAGTCCCTTGATGTGACGTTCAGTGTACGCTGGTTCCGAGGGATGCTCTCCTGGACCAATTTAACTCATGACGCAATGTCACAGCATGGATTGCTCGGGTGGCTTATGTGCAAGATGCTTCCGAGGGCTCATCCCCTAACCCTACACTCAATGCCAACGTTAACGTTACGACTTGACGGATTAGGTAGTCCTGCAATGCGGGTCGTTGTTAGACGACAATAAATAGAAGCACAATCTGTCTGCACTAGATACGTCATCGCTGCCTCGAGATCTCGTTTTCAACCGCCCGAGCGTCATATTACGCGGTGATTCAGTTGAATTATTGCCAAGGGCGAGCATTTCCAAGCACATGGAACCCTGCGATGGCGCACTCGCCATCAACCACCTCGTCGCTGGTCGACGCTGGAAATGGCAAGACGAGACACATTACAGGGAATTTGTGGCATCGCTCGCGTTTGTACGACGATCGTCCAGCGCTTGGCGGCGGCATGCGACGTCCAGGCCTTCCTCGCCGCGGTTCCCGCGACCGCCCGTACCGGCCCTCTCGCCGCGCTTCACAAGCTTCTCCAAGAGCCGACGCCGGCGATTAGGCGCTGCGATGCACAATAAGTCATGCTCTGGCCGGTGCTGCAGCTGCAGGCGCTAACGCCCGCTGGTATGGATCTGGCGCGTATTGCGCTGCCCATCTTTTCCGCCGCGAGCGCCATCAACAACCTCGCGCGGCCAGAAGACCTCGACGTTGTGGCCTCTGACAAGATCGTCCACTCTAAGCACAACGCCGTCTCCATACGTCGGGTGAATCTACCAGACGTTTTTGACGTCTGGCACCACCCTCGAGAGGATGTCCACAGTCGCATCCACGCAATCTCATCGAGGACACACGAGTGCAGCAAGACTGTTGCAAGTGCCTGCGTCGCAAACCTCACATCCGGACACGAAAAGCGGCGACGTGGACAGACGTGCGGTCTCCAGTACACTGTCCATAAAGCAGCAGGCCTGGATGGTGAGCTCTTCCAGCGCTGGAGACGCAGACGTCAAGTAGCGCGGCGAAGTGTTCGGTGAGGTCCCCGCGGGTAGCCACATTGATATTTTGAGCCAAAGATCAATACACTGTTTCAACGCCAACGCGAGATGTCAAAGGTACACTGGTGCTGTGGTTTAATGGCACTGGATTCGGTCGCACCACGCCAGTGCGTTCAAGTCTTGCTGGCCAATGCACTCGTAGCGTGCATCCAGAAGCGTGTGGTCATCGACGTCTTCGAGGTCGAGCTTTCCGAGCGGATGGTGCAGCACTTGTCGCGTCGTAGCGTGTCGGTAGATGTTGACGATCGGGCAGCGCCACAGACGCAAGAGGAGCCACTCGATCGGGTCGGTCATCCACGTAATGTTCATGAGCATCCGTGCTTCGTCGATATGGTCTTCATCAATTTCTTGGGGAAGCGTCAGCTGCGTGCTCATCGAACGGCCGAGCGTCCGATCGAGAAAGAGCGTCCGCCACGACGTGCTAAACATCGAGAGGTTGCAGTGGACGAGCGCAATGTACGGCACGGACGACGTCGCGTGCACCGAGCGCACGCCCCCCAGCCTCAACGCGCTTCGGACAAAACCAGTGCAATCACCAAGTTCTTCGCATCGGTGAAGAGACCGCTGTAGCGCACATCGCAGGGAAGCGACCCGATGTGCTTGGTGGCTTGGACACTGCTCGGTACGAGCATCGGGGCCGATGCAAGGATCTCGGTGCTGCGCAGCGCGTTCCAGCGCACGTCAAAGACGGCCGAGACGAGCGACACGAGCGGCAACAAGTAGCCGCGAAGACCTACGAGGTGGCGCGACCACCCCTTCTTTGCGTGCGATCCAGAGTGGCGGAGGTAGAAATACCCCTTGGCCACGAGGTTGAGGACCCACACGTTGCGCATGTGGCACGTGAGGAGCGTCATGAGACCATACAAATTCGAAAAGCTCGTGTCGATGGTGCCATCCAGTGCGACAAAGCTCTTGGAAATGTACAGATAGAGCAGCGTCGCGTCCGAGGCGTGCGCGAACACAAAGAGGATGACTGGAAACCAGCTGCCGTAAATGACCACTTGGCCAGGAATGCGAAAGAAGAGGCCTAGCGCCGCGAGCCATCGCGAACCTGAGATCGTGTGGCGCCGCGTCGCCGCGTAGCAGCCGCCGAAGAGTGCGAGAACGCGGACAATATTGTACACTTGGGCGACGATCCGAAGCAATCGCACGAGCTTGTAGTAGTAGACGACGTTCGAGCCAAGCATACCGGCTTCGTACCGGTAGTCGACGAGCTCGATGGTGCGGCAGCTGGATGCGTTCCAGATCTCCGAGCAATTTTGCACCCGGAGGAGCGAGACAGCGTCCCAGCTGAATGCGTCGACGTGCGTGAGACTGCCTCGCCAGCGCTGGACGTCCATGGTCGAGTCGATCACGACAACGTCCATGCGCTGCGAAGTGAGATCCATCGTGCGTCGGCGCGCTAGCATCCGCGCCTGGATGTGAGCGCTGATGACAGAAACCTTCTTGTAGCCTACGCAAATCCAGATTGCTACCTTTATAGACGAGAATGACGCACCAAACGTGCTGAGGTTGGACCACGGCGCGTTGCAGAACGGGAGGCGATGGCCCGAGTGACAGAGGTCCATCGGCGTCTCCAAGGTTTGCGTTACCGTCGACCGGTAGTGCACGTGCTCGAGCGGCCCAAAATCAACAAAGTCGTCCATGTTGTCGCGAAATGAACTCACGCTGCGGCAGCCTGCGGGCGATGGCGCCAGCGCGTCGACGGTGCTCTCCAGCAAGCGCCACACGGACGCGACACTGAGCGTCAAGTTGGGACACGCCGACTCGTACAGCAAGCACGGGTCCCTGATCGTACTACACGGTGAGCATTCGCCATACTTGAGAGATTCCAGTACCAGCCCGAGATGTTGTGCGCGGCCACGAGCCCGCGGAGACCGATCGAGGTCGTATCAAACTTGTAGCTCCACACACGCGCCGTGGACGTGGGCCCGGACGACGCGACGCCCGCAACCGTACCTACGCATGCGCATTGTGGGTCGAGCGTAGTAGAGAGATGTAACCATTGGGTTGACGCGTCGCGTTGAGGACGAGGTAGGCGTACGGGCCAAAGTACGACGCCGCGTCGGGCGCGTGGCGAATGTAGGTGTTTGGGAGGGACGCGAACCCGTACCCGCTCCGCGGCACGTCTGTAAAGAAGAGGATGTACGAGAGGAGCGTTAAAAGCACGCGTCGCCAGCTGAGCGATGACGTTGTCGGCGGCGGCGATGGTTCATCGGCCGCCGGGCGTATCCGCAGCATTCGTTTCGGAGCAACCGTTTCGCGCCAAATCGATTGAAGAGCAAGATGCAACCAGCACCTAGTTTAACAATAAACTAGCCCAAAAGTGTTAGTACGCGCTGCTAAATGCTTGGCTCTTGATCCGTCGACGGTACTGCTCTGGACTCTGGGAAGGTTGTCGCTGAGGCGCGACACCAGTGAACCAAGCTCGACGGACAATGTGAGAAGCCACCACGGCGGATACGCCAAGACCTGGATACAACGTTAGAGCTGGATCGATCTCTGATGCGGAGTAGGCAAGGCTTCCTACTACCAGTCGCTCGAGTCGTCTGCGCTCGGTCGGCGTGGCGGCGAGGGGGACCGGTCCACCAAGGCGCTCCACGTCATTCAACGTGTGCGGATGGTTATCCGGATCTTCGATGTCATCGGTGACGTGGTCGCATCTCGGCGGCAGCGAGCGATTGCCGCGAGGACTTTGCGGCTTGCGCCATGCACTTGCTTGCGTATTAGTCTTACACGCTACCTAGCATCACTGCTGTCCTTGCAAAGGGTGTGCTCTTTAGTGTACGTACATACACGCTGCGCTGGGTGTTAAAATGGGGTGTTTCTAGCCATATCGAAGTTCGAAGATGGTGGTCGTAGCAGTAACTCCGCACTGCGGAATCTTGGCCAATGGCACCGACCAAGGAGACGACGGGCTCGGCAAAGGTCGTCGCCGTCGATGCGTACGAACCGGTCATGCCCGTGGGGCGGCCGCGGTCGGCCAGCTGGTCCTCGGACAATCCGTCCACGGTACGCCGCCGGCTATGACGACGCTTGATGGACGACGACGTACCATCCTAGGCCATCCTGTACATGCTGGCATGGTACATCTTCTCGACGAGCGCGACGTTCATCAACAAGATCTTGATCAAGGAGCATGGCCTCTCGGCCGAGGCGCTTACCGTGTGCCACCTCGCGCTGGGCACGTGCTTTGACGGTACGCCATGACAGCTCGCCATGGGCTTGCCAAAATATTGCGCTAGCGGCCATTTTCGCGGTCCCGCCAAAGTCGCGCTACAAGATGTGGCATCTTCGCCCGATGAAGTTCGACCAGTACGCCTGCGTCTCGAGATCGACACATCTCAAGCTCATCGCACATACCGAATAGTGTGCTCTCGATGCTGCCACTCAGCATGATGGCGATCGCGGCCAAGATCTTGACGTACTGGAGCTACTCCAAGGTGCCTGTCGCGCTCACCCACACGTGCAAGGTACTGTACTACTACCAAAGTCAAGTACGATGCTGAGACCAAGGCGACTTAGGCGTCAACGCCGCTCTTCAACGTCGTCCTCGCCTACCTCGTGTATCGTACAACGCACGCGCTGCCCATATACCTGTCGCTGCTGCCCATTGTTGTCGGCGTCTCGCTGGCGTCCATGTCCGAAGTTCAGATCAACGTACGCATGAACATTTCTCATCCATCGTGGCGTCAATGCGACGAGGACGTAGGAATTCGCGACCATGGGTCTTCTCTGCGCCATCTCGTCGTCCATGTTTGGGGTCATGCAGGTACACTCTGCGCATCTCGTGAGGATCGAGTATGCGACGGCGATCTGTAGAGCATGTACGCCAAGTACCTTCTCCGCCATGGCATCGTCGCCGACAGCATCAATGTGCGTCTCTCCTCCTCTCTCGGCCCCTTCTTCTATGTATGTCTTTGGACTAGCTCCATTTTTACAATGGCATGCTCTGCATTGCCGTCAACATGCCGATGCTTCTCTGGAACAGCGCGGAGAAGACCATGTTTCCGACGACGTCCGTTCCTCTTTTGGATTTGACATGGCGACGTGGCTCTTCTCTGTAGGATTCCCTACGGCTTGATCTTTTGCTGCAGTACATGCCAGTTCATCTCGAGTTTTGCAGCCTCCTTGGTACGACATCGTCGTGTCGTCGGAGGCGTATTGATATATGGTTTTTTGTGTAGCTGCTCGGCAAGGTCTCGGAGCTCACGTACTCAATCATGAGCACGATGAAGCGGGTTGTGATTGTGCTGAGCGCG